GTTGAGGTTTATAACTGCTTTTCAGACCCTCTGGTGAGAAGTTTGAATCAATGTGTTTGGTTTACCCATCTGAGAGGTAGGGAGAAACTTTCTGAAGCGCATCAAGAAATTAGGCATAAAATTTCTATGATATTTAAATCCTTCATGCACCTTCTGAAAAATCTTCCCTGGGAACTTTGATTCTAATTTTTTCTTCTTTTCATCCTTTCTCTTATGTAGAGTTGAGTGGGTACACAAGTCAGCAAAGGAACTATAAGGTTCATCACCAGTATGTGTCAGTTAAAGCTACAAGTATATTTGGATAGGTGTCTTAAGGATGTTGTCATTTGAAGAAATGCTTGTCTACAGGGCATGTGTGTAATATCCTTAAGTAGCTGTCAGGAGTCCAACTACTAGGAGTTGCTGAGAAAGCAGTCAGACTTCCTAATCTCACATGTATTTCCCAGCACCCCGAATTATTTTGTTTAAAGCAAACACCCGAGTTTCCAATTTGACAGCAACTGAGTCTCTTGTAATCCCTGTTTAATCCAGAGGTCTGCCAAGGACTGCAGGCGCCGCAAAACCAGTGATCAGCCGTCCAACCACAGCCAGAACACAGAGAGCAGCTGCTCAACACCAGAGTCAGTGCAGGAGCTCTCAGATGATGATGGCAAGTATTTGTGTATCCCTGGGTCAGGCTTTAATGTTCTTCCCTTTGTACCTTATTCCTTGAGCCAGCCCTGGGACATTTCCCAGCCCAGTTAATACCATGGGCCAACAGCCCACAGGCAAACACACAGAATGTTCTGCATTTCTGTTCTCTGTATGTATTGCCTCTCTGCCTTATGCTATCCATGCCAACAAGGGCTTCCCACTCCTGGCACAAACATGTTGAAAAAATACACTGACATTCCAGTCAACAGATAGGAAACAGCCCTTGTCATTCTCTTTTCTCTGCTTTTGTTAGAGGTGACCTTGAATGTTTCAGAGATAGGGGCAGGTGTGAGCACTCTGTTCTCCTCCCCTCAGCTGGAGAACATGCTGCCAAAATTGCCTGAGAGCTGACTGAGAAAGGGCTCTAAGCCAGTGTCACAGGACCCGTTCCAGTGGCCTGAGTCTTCAGGGTGGAAGATTCTGTTCCCTGTCTCCTTCTCCCTGTGTTTCTTCCTGAAAGCATCCCCCTGGCTGTGACAATTAGATCACAGCCAGCCACTTGCTGGGTGAATCTGTGTTGTGTTTCATCACTACCACTAGAATGGTGATGCAAAACATAATTCTCCTTCAATACTTTGCCACAGGGTTTGAAAGCCTGTGTGCTCAGTGTGGGAAAGAAATGAATCACCTGAAGGAAATTCACTCAGCCGTCTTATCTCTACAGAGAGCCCAACAAGACATACACAGGTAACTATTTGCTGTCATCAAATCAATTATTTTAATGGGCTGAAAATAACCTGTGGCATTTAACCTCTCACTGTGGCTGTTGGAGAGTCTCTGTCAGCTGCTGGGGTGCATTTAACAGTTGTTTCTATACATAACCAATTAACACACAAAGACAAACCCATTCCCTGCTTGAAACAGTGAGGAAATCCCTTCCTCTTAAGAGTCTTTATGGCCAAAAATCTTCACCTCAGCATGTTTCACACCTCATGGCATTCCAGACTGCGAAACAGCTGCAGAAGTTGGGAGGGGCTGGGCCATGTCCTGGCTACAAATAGATCTCTGCTAGCCAAAAAGGTGTGAGGTCTCCCTTCTTGTAGAGCATGTTTCTGATTTCCTTGGTTTTCTGTAGAGATGCGGGCGTGTGGTCTGAAAAGCTGGACTCCATGGTGAAAAGCACTAACTTCCCACATTTTGTTTAAATGGCTAATTGCTGTCTGAGGGAAGTAGTGACCACACCTGCTGCTGACAAACAGCTTTGCCCTGCAGACACCTGTAGCCGGGACAAGGGAGTTATTAATTGCTACATCTGCTCCAGGGAGCCCTGCTGGTTCCCCACTGTGTATTATCCAGCTCTCCTGAGGCTTCACTGTGGTGGGATCACATGAGGCCCACTGTTACTAGATGCCAGAGCCATTGGTGACATGGCTTTGGCTTCTCTGTAGCTCTTGGGGGTCTCCAAGGCAGGCTCTTGTATTTGGGAAGTATAGGGCATAGGATTATGAGTGCTGAATAAAGTGATTTCTTGGGGTTTGTGCCCTTACACCTTCCAATGCCAGTCAGCATGCTCTGCCTGATCCAGCTCCAGGAAGTACTAATCTCTCTGTTAAAACAAAGAGGGAGGTAGGGTCTGTGGGGGCACAGTGCTGTACCTGTGAAGGTGTCTCTCTCCTTATGTAGAAGTTCTGGGCATGTGCACACATATGAATGCACACCTCCTTCCAACCCACAAATAATCGTACTGCTTTCTTTTCCAGAAACCTCAGTGCTCTGAACAAAAAGTCCTTCCACAGGAAGGCCTCTTCTGAAAGCTTCCTCCTGGACTCTCGCTGTTGGTTTCTCCTCTGCATCTTTCTTACGTGTCAACTATTCATTAATTATGTCTTCAAATAAAATCACTACGTTTGGCAGCAATAATGATTACTGGCTGCAGGAGGGGGGCCACTCGCGCAAGGAGCCCAGAGAGGCACCAAAGCACTTTAGAACCAACGTGGCAGAGGTGGAAGAAAGTGGAAAAATGAGGTTAAAAAGGGACCTAGGAACCTGCGAAACTTTGTTCCTGCAGATTTTGTCATTTTTGCCTTTTACATGTACATCTTCAAGGACCTCTTAACCTGTACGGGCCTTAATGCTGAAGCCAAATGTAGCTTTAATTGTGCAATTTGTTTTCTATGTCTTGTCATTTTCTGATGCAATTAATAATTACCCAGCAGTATTGGTAACCCCAAAATGGTAAACACCCCAGTGTTTTGGAAAGGTCACACCGGCCTGGGTCATAGCTCCAGGAGTGAGGGAGTGCAGTTGGGGAGCTGTAAAGAATTGATGTCCATGGTGCCTGTCCGGCTGCCTTTAATTAATTATGGGAGGGAGCACACTTGGTCCAAAAATCCACCCCCGGGATATTAAGTCATGATTTGTTTTGTCACACACAGAATGAGACCTCAGGATGTGTTTTATTTTCCATTCCACAGGAACTGTAAATATGCACAATTTCCTAGAGCCATTCCTCTTTAGGAAATGGGAAGTATTCGGTGAAAGCTCCTTGTTTGTTTGCGGAGCTGACTGGTGTACTGGATCTGGCCCATCGAGTGTAACGTCAGATATGCCTGTTTGTAAAATCTGGTCACTTACTATTATTGTTATTATTTGCTATATGGCTGTTTTATAATATCACACACTAGCATTGTAGAGAGAAATCCACTGCCCCAGCATAGGTGAGAAGGATGGGAGAGATATAGGTGTATGTGTGTTCGGTCTTAGGCACATTTTTTGTCAAAGGTCAGGAAAGAGGGAGGGTTTTGCCACTGCATTGTTCAACTCTGTTAATAGTCTTCCTATTTTACACCATTTTTTAAAGATTTGCAATATTTTCTGTAGACTGCGGACAATACTAAGCCTTTCTTTTCTGGCCTGAAGTAGTTCCAAGTGGTAAGTACTGCTATATATACAGCCTTAAAATACTTAGTGGTGGTGCCAGTCTGGGCTATCTTTCAGTGTAAATGTTTCCAAATTTTTAAGTACATTCCTCGTCATACTCCCCGGTTAGGGGACACCTGTTTGTGCTTGATATGTTGAAATAAAACTACACACAACTTTCACTGACAGTCTATCTGACAAATTATTTTTGGCTTTGTATTTGATAGCGTTTTACAAGTAAATCACTTTTTAGAGGAAAGTCTACAGGAAAAGGCCTCCAAGAATCTCAGACACAGGCCATAAGTTAGAACAGCAATAGCATTTTGACACCTCCCTGGCTGAAATTGTTTGTGTCTTCTAATTGTAGCAACTTCCTCAGAAAGAAAAGTGGTTGCCTTGGTTTTCACTGTTGTACATGTAAATGTACAGACTTGTCTTGGATTTAGAAAACCTTTATATTAAGGAGGTGACTTGATGACAGCAAATAGATACTTCCAGGAAGAGAACCACAGCTCTCTGATATGGACAGGATGAGAGCTGGCATCTGGAAGCCAACAATCAGGGAACTGATCACAAATAATAAAGGGCAAGTGACTGTTGTTAGCAAAAATCTCCAGAAAACCAAAGGATTCTTGATACTTGAAGAATCATACTTCAAGAATGTCAACATTGTTGATTCAGATTGGGTGTCTTTTTGAAGAACATCATCCTGGTCACCCTTTTTGAGGAAGTCTGACCTGTGCCACAGATAAAACTTGATGAGATGGGGTCCCCCCACCTCTGGCTGTCAGGCTATGCAAAGTCCTGTATGCACCTTGAAAGTGTTCACTGTGCAAACACATCTGCTAATATCCTTTGAATGCTTCAGCAAGTCAGCACATCTCTGGCCTGTCAGCACAGCTTTCCTCATCACACACATCCTGCTTTGGAATTATTTGAGTTACAGATAGGAGCCTCTCTGCTTCTGTAGGGCTATTTACATCTCTTGGATACAGCTGTGTGTGGGTTTGAGAAATGCTTACTAAAACAACAACAGGGAAAAGAAAACAGCCCATGCCCACCTGAACCAAAGAGAAGCAGTGCTGAGAGGAACCATCCGGTAGGTGTAAATGCAAATGCTTGAAATTGTTTGGATCATTTCCATTTTACCAAGCTACGCATCCACGGGGATTTCACTGGGACTTGTTACTGCAGTTAAGTAAAACACTTGCCACAGAAGGAGCAATTCAGTGAAAGAAATTATCAACTTACATAAACTAATTATGCATGAGCAGAGTAGGAGTTTCCAACATTTACTGCTGCTGCCGCAGGGTATTAAAAATAATCCAAAAAGAAACAGTCTATAAATCCTTGTGCCATTAATTTTAATCCAATTTCAACATCTTGAGGTGAATGTTCATACGGGATACATGCACATGGAAGATAAAGAGTATTCTTGAGGAAAATCACGTTCAGAAATGTTATTTCTCTGGGAGGAATATCTGCTGGGGGAAAAGCTGAAAACCATTTCAGGGCGTTAGAAAACCCAGTCTGTGCGTCGCTGGGAAAATTCCCCGTCCATCCTTCGGCCCTCCTTTTCGTGATCAGTGAGCAGCCCGTCAGCGCGCGAGCTTTTTTGAATGGAGGGGCACGGATCGCGCCGTATCCCAGCGTGGGTTCTGCCTGCTCTCGATAGGTGCAAAGCGTGTTACCAGGGGCAAGGCACGGCCTGGTTTCCCTCGGCTCCATGGGGGGGGGGGGCACGGCGCCCCTGGGACGGGTCGCTGTCCGGGCGGGGGCGGCCCCCCGCGGGGGCGGATAAAGGGGCAGAGCCGGCGCCTCCCCCTGGCCGTGCCGAGCGGAGGCAGGACGGGCAGTGCCGGGCCGGGAGCCGCGATGGCAGCCGGAGGAGCGGCGGGGCTGCTGCTGGTGAGTGCCGGGTGAGGGGCTCTGGCCGGCCCGCAGGGTGGGAGTCTCTGGCCGCTGTCTGCGGGCAGGGGCTCGCCCTCAACCTGCCCGCCGCGAGTAGGGGCTGGCACCTGTCCGTAGCCAAATCCCTCCTTTTGACGGGAGAAGAGGCTTCTTCCAAGTCCGGAGTGGAGCAGCCCTGCATGTTGTCCTACCCTCCTCTTCCTTAAGAGACTTTAGTAACTTACCTGAACTTTTTGTTTGTGTTGCTTGAAACTTCGGGGATCCTGATTATGTGGGTCTCCTAAACCTGAAAAGGATAAGGAAGGGCAGCTGCTGTGAACCCAGCCCCGGGTTGCGGGGAGCCCCCTGAAGGGTGTACGGACTAGTGACGCGCCCTCCGAGTCTCTCCCTAAGGCTGCCTTTCCTTCTCTTCTCGGCGAAAAAGAAAATTACAAGTCAGGAGTGAGCTTTTTTAATTGTCCTTGGTGAAACTGTGAAACTGGAAGTTTCCTGAACTACGCGATTACAGGAAAGACTTTCAGTCTCCCAGGGAGAGAGTTGAAAGAGCGCAGCTGCGGGAGTCGAGCTCTTGATTTCAGCTTGGAAATTGCCCGCTGATGGCAATTAGCGGCGGGGAGCTCCGCGGCTGTCCCTTCCTCTCCCCCTGCATCTGTTCTAGGACCTTCTCTCTCTTACGGTTTACAAGTGAGGGATGTACTTCGGTGTCTCGAAACCGAGCTCCGCGCTCGCCTACCTGCGAGGCACTCAGGGTGCGTGCCCCGCGGGCCTGTTCCTCTTAAAAAAAATTAATAATAATAAACATATGTAAAAATATGTGTGTGTGTGTGTAAACATTCCCAATGCTCCTGTGGCTACAGTAAGTTATTTTTGTTAATGACTCAACTTGCCTTCTGCTTACGATTACAGAGCCAGTGAGAAGTGCTGGATGAGGTCTCTGGGGCGTATCCTCCATTTTGCGGGGGGGGGGGGGTGGTGGAAGACTAACACTGATCCCCATGAATTAAAAAGATGGGAGGAGGGAGAAACGAATGCCTTGCATGTGGTAGAAACTTCGGCCTCTGAAGTTCCATTGCAGTGAACTAGTGGAAAGAAAACAGAATTTTAAATGCAGTCAGGGATCTGCGGCAATAGTTGTCTAAAACCCATCAGCTGCTGCACGGTGGTGCTTTAACCCCAACTTTGTGATTGCAATTACTGCTGTGAGCAGCACTTAGCAGAAATTAGTTTGGGTTTCCTCTGTGGCTTCCCATAAACTTCTGAATGTGTTTCCAAGTCTTTACTGGTTCATCTCCCTGAGATGGTTATCATGTCCTGGGAGGATGATTCACTCAGATGCCTGTCTGTATTTGCTGTAGGTTATGCTGCTGACAATGCCTGGAACCCGAGCAAAAAACTGTGAAGAGGGAGAGTACTTCCATGAAGGACACTGCTGTGTATCTTGTCCAGCAGGTAAGACTTTGAGAAGTTACAGCTGATAATGGCTGTGTTTCTTTCTTGTGGAGATGACTGATCACTACTGCTTTTTACTGTTTCATCTGGTGAAAGTGTAAGCCCATCTGGAGCTGTGATGGCTTCTTGGGGCTGTTAAGGCTGGGCTCCATTTTGAAGCAAGAGTCCCTTGTGTGACAGGTGATGACTGGGAGAGGTGCCTTGGCAGCAAGCCGGGAAAACTCTGCTTATGGTTGAAAACAAAGTGTTCAAAACTGGGTAATATTTGGTTGGGTTTTTTGTTAACAAAACACTTCAGATAGCACAAAGAACATGCCATGAGGAATTGTGGTATTTCTGTGTCTGTAGGTAAAACTTGGGTTTGGTTTTGCTCTCCCCTCCTTGCTCAGTGTGTGCAGAGTTAAGGAGTTTTGTGTTGAGAAGTACCCTGCCCCTAGAGACTATCAGAGGGCTATTTAGAGGTAATTCAGAGAAAGGAGAAGAGTAGATCTTATAAGCAGTTCTCTCTGTGCTCATCAACTCCTTCAGAGATGGTGCTGGCCATATAGCTGACTCTAAGCTGTTGCAGAGAGTCATCCTTGTCCCCTGTGTGTTCCAGCAGAGGCCTGGCTGTATGCCTTGTTTGGCACTGCTCCTTGTCTGAGCAGCAAATGGGGAATATGCCTCCTGACTCTCCTGTGCTGGTTCATGTGGCACATGATTCATTTGTGAGGAGGGGTTGGACTCTCCTCAAAATGGGTTTGTGTTGTAACATCCTGTTATAGCCCTTTGTCTGTTTAAAAGATCCCTTGAGACTGCTGCTGCCGGTTCTCTTCTTCCACAGGTACTTTTGCTGCTGAGCACTGCAGTGCTCCACATTTGAGAGGAAAATGTCGCCCTTGCAAGGAAGGAGAGAGTTATACTGCCCATGAGAACGGCTTGGACGAATGCTTGTCATGCAGACAGTGCAAAGATGGTACCAAGCACGATTTTGATGAAGCCTTAACCCTTTCCCCTTTTTAATATGGAAAATCTGATCCTCACTGAGCATATTGAACTTAGAAAGAAATTGTCTTTATGATATGAGTATAATTTTTGCACAGTTGTAGAGTCACATCTTTTATATTTACTTTGTAATTTTTATGTTTTATTTTTTAGATCAAGTAACTGTGAGACCCTGTACTCTGACACACAATACTGAATGCGAGTGCAAACAAGGGTATTTCTGCACTGACAAGAGCTGTGAAATATGTCAGAGACACAATAAAATGTAAGTTTGATAAAGAATATAAGTGACTGTTTTCTTTCTAGGGAATGTTAGACCTGTGGCCCAATCAGTGCCAATAGCTAACACATGTTATCTGGCTGTAAATAATTGCCCTGAAGCCAAGTAGTATTACTCATGCATTTAAATTTTAGGTGTCAAAATATGTGGAGACCTAAAAAAACATGAACTTGGGTATTGTTGTGCTTGTTGCTTATGGCTGCAAGCTTGCACTTTTCATGTCTTCAGATTAGTATTTCCCCAGGTACACACTTGAATAAGCTTTCTAGCACCCAGTCAAAATTTTTGGGAAGTAGAACTACCTGTTGAAGGCAACTAACTGTGCATGAATAATGCATCTACTGTGGTTTGGTTTTTGTATTTTTCCCCCCCTACTTACAAGCTAACATACATGAGCTTTATCTGCTCTGCTTCTATTTAATCTTGTAGTACTATCTTGGGTCGTTTAAAGGTGCACTTCTCACAAAGTTATCTGTTTATGCCTCTAAGCTCTGCCTGAAAAAAGTCAAGTCTATACAGAGCTGCATGTTGCTCTGGAAATGTTGATACAACCCTGTGTTGTCATCCACTGCAGGTATCCAGAAGGGAAAGAAATCGACCGGAATTGCAATGCTACAACAGGCCTAGGATGTGACTTACGGGATCAAGGTCTGGTACAGAAATCCCACTCAGCTTGGTTTGTTGGGTCTGTGGCTTCAGGCTAATAACACCATAGCAGTCTGTAAAACAGTGGTTTGAACTACTGTAACATATTTAACAGCTTCTGTGTTTTAGTCTGGGAGTTACTTGCTAAAGACAAACTCTCAAAGGCATTGGAGTGGCAAACCATCATAAGTTTCACTGGGTGAAAACCTACACGTGTTGCTGGGATTTTCAAAGTTGCAAGGGTGATTCTGCTGAAAGTTCCAGATATGTTTCTTACGCCTGAAGCTGTGTATGGAGTAGCTTTCTCTTCTGCCAGACCAGAGGACACTACCTATGTTACAGCACGTCAAGCTTGCTGTCACCTTTTGCATACTTGTTTCCCCTTTTAAGTGTCTGTCTGGAAGACCTTGTAGAAGTTGTGTTGCAGGTCTATGCAGAATCCCCTGCTGCCTTTGGGGTAATGGTGTGCAGTGCAAACGAGTACTTGCACATTCAGGTCAGCTGAAAGTCCCCAGTGCCTCTTCCAGGACAAGCTAGCAGGGTTGTTGTATTAGTGCTGGGCTTAGGCTGTTTTCTAGGACAGCAAGGAATATCTTTTTGGGGGGCTGCTTCAGTACTAATTTTATTTCTTTTTCCTTCACAGGAAGCACAGCTCTTTCTTGGGTTATTCTTCCAATCATTTTGGTTGTTGTTATCGTTTTGCTGATCTTGGTATTTAAAAAGTTGAAGTGTCATAAAGGTAACTACTTGATTCTTATCCATAAAATTTGCTTTCCAGAATTAGGTAAAGCATGCACTAGGGCTATCTCTGGGGTTTGTGTTACTTTTATAGGGGACCTTTTTGAGCTCTAGTTCACTTAGCATGTGATTGAAGAAGAGTAGTTTTTTTAAATAAATAAAATGCATAAACCTTAACTGAGCATCCTTATTTTGCTGACAGATGCCTTTACTTCAAAGCAGGATTATAATTAGGTCCTTAAAAAGGACTTTTCCTATCTACTTGCCTTGTATTGGCAAAGACAAAAACCTGTGTCAGCTCAGATGCATGGTGCAAAAAGTAGCAACTAACTAGTTCATTAACTACTTTTGTTCTCTGCGTTTGGATGTGGAGATTTTTCTACAAATTTTTGCCCTTTCGTCATTTCAGCCTCTTAATGAAGGTGAACGTTAGGTTGATAAGTCCTGTGTGAATTTATTCTTTTAGTGAAATTGAGCTGTTTTCCTTGGAAATTTCTCTTTCCACTACTGTGTATTAAGGTGTTTTTGCAAGTAGTGTAGTTAGAATAATGTTAAAAATTGGTCTGAATTTTGAATGCTAACTTTGTTCAGATCATGCTTTACCAATTGTATTGCAGTAAAAACAATTCCTGTCTTTTCTGTATTGCAATAGCCCACAAAAATGCTGCGTAAGCTGGAGTGGGGGAGCATGCAAGAGTGACTTAAACTGCTTCTTGTTGTCTACATTTTACTAAGTGGGACTCTTCTCTCTGTGAAGGCACAGTGTTTGTGCTGTTGGTGGAAGCTAAGAGTAGTAGTGTCATGAAATGTATGACATTAAGCAAACTTAATGGCTTGTAAAAGTTTTGGTTTGTGTTACAAAAGTTTCTATTGTATATAAATCTTGCATGAATTCAGCTATGTTTAAGTTGCTGCAATTCTTAAAAGTTTCTTAGACACTTATTTTGTTTTTCAGCTGCTTCAGCTGATAAAGATGTGGAGAAAAGTCTGGTAAGTATGTGATAGATCAAATGTTTCATCTCAGTTTTGTGCAGTTTAATTGTGCACTGCTTAATTGTACTTGATGCATAGCCCTCAATGTTTATCTCACTGTAGACCTCCAGTAGGATGTGTTCCTGTGATGCAAGAAGTTGTGATTCATACAGGGCCAGATATTAGCAAGGGCCTGATAAGCTGCATGTGTCTGCTACAGTTGGGCTTTCCAATACTTCCCTTGGAAACACTTCAGAGCCTGTGACCAGGATGTTTTGAAAGCGGAAAAAAATTAGACTAGCTTCAAGCTTTCACTTCAGACTGTCTCCAGATGATACCTTGATCCAATTTAGTTTTTTTGCTCTTTCACATGTGTTCTGCAATCAGTGTCAGCTATCAGTTACCTGCATGGTGGTGTTCAAGCTTTTGTTGTAATTTAACAACAAATTATTTGTTCATAAGATCTACTACTCTTGGTCCAGTAAAGTGACTGAGCCTTCCTGCCTTTGGGCTCATGTCAAAAGCTACAGACCAGAACACTAACTTTTTGGCTCTAAACAGTCCCATAAGATATGAGGGATTTGGGGCTCAGAGCATGCCAGTTCCAAAGTGCATCCCTAAAAATGGTTTACCAAGCTAAGGCTGGCTGCTAGCATGTGTTCCACTGTAAAGCTGGATATACCCTGGCCTGCTGTAGTCAAACAGATAGCTGCTGCTGTATTTTGAAACAAAATGGTCAGCTGTGCTATGTATTTTCAGTCACTTGGCTTCCTATTTAAGAACTATGCTTTATAAAAAAAGATCAATTTCTTTAACCTGTTTACACCCTTAACAGAAAGTGTTTTCAATGAGAATGATGTACAACTACATGTGTGATGTGTGGGGTGGTTCCCTTCACATCCCTGCTTATGCATGTTGGTCATATGGTGGTGTCACACATGGGTCACTGACCTTGTGCAAGCAGAAACCACACTGGCTTATGCTCACAGAGGCTGTACCTTAAAAAACACGTCTCATGGGAAGAACAGTTACTCTTCACCCTCATTTTCCACATCTTAAAAACAATATTCCTAAAGCTTTCTGGTTTTAGCCCTAGCTGATATGTTAGATGCTAGTCTGCTTTGTACTTGTACTGTTCATGATGAGTTGGGGCTGTGCTCCCTGGCATATGCTTTAATGAATTGGCAATGCTGAAATGGATGCAGCCTTCCTTGGTTGCTTCCCTCTTTCTCCCCTCACAAAAGCTATGCGATGTGCACTCGTGCTCCCTGGTTTCTTTCAATTGATTCCAGTTTGTGAACCTGCCAGGAAAGTTAATCCAGCCAAAGAAAGCCTAAACTGGTGCACTACATGGAGCTGATAGGCTATAATCAGCTTGGCAAAAGTTGTGAGAGCATCAACCTTGACATAGCAAGAGGCTTGAGGCCCCTGTTGCTGTTAAGTCAGCTCAGGTGAAGCAAGGCAATTTAATTTCCTCCTAACTTTTGAGAGGTGCAAAACTTCTGTACCTAGAGAGGAGCAAGCAGAAATCCCACATCAGTGAGAACATCAGGAAAAGTTTCCTGCATTTGTTGTGGAGGTAGCCTGTGAGCCTTACCCCACAGTCCAGTGGGAGCAGAACAGACATTAAAGTGAAGAGCTGGGCTCTAAAACCATTTGAACTCCAGTTCTGTGAAGGCTGTAACTTTGCCATATTAGCAGGTCTCCTGTTATTTCTCTATCTGGTGGTTTCAAGTGTTCTCTTTTCTTCCCCTAGACTGTCTTTGTAGGCCTACCTATGAAACATCTCTTAAAGCATGTTCTTATTCTTTACAGAAGTCTGAGGGTGGTAGTGAAAGCCTCATTTTGCCAGAAAGGAAGACACCTGCATCTGCAAATAACTCAATGAACCCAGAGGATGAGAACTGTGGTGAGAGCCCAGAGAGCCAAGCACAAATCAGTATTAACTTGGAAGTAGAAGACACATCACCAGAGGAAGATAGTGCACTTACTGAGCAGGGCACCATCCTGCATGGGGACTGGAAGCACCGTGTGCTAAGGTGGTTGAGGAGGATTCCTGAGTCTTCAAAACCTGGCCAGAATTCTGCTTTTCATCAGAATAACCTATCTAATGTATCAAGTATTAGAACACCAGCAAATCGTGTGGTAAGTGTGTGTATGTGAAATTATCATCATGTTTTCTCTAATACATGTGTAATTTCAGTTCCATTTTTAACTATTTCTTGAGTTTTCAGGCAGAATGATAGAGGAGACTTTGCATTAAAGATGTAATAGAAAGTATGGAAAGTGATATCTTGGGAAAGCAAACTTCAATCCCTTACGTTTAATTTACTCTGCCTCTTTCATCTCCCTGTCAAAATGTACATAGAAGCTGCTCTGTAGCAAAAGCAGCAAATGTGTTGCCTTGTTGCTTCACTTCAGAGCTGTTTCATCATGCAATTTTCTTCACTCAAATTCTTTCAGCTGTGCTGTGAAACTTGTCTCCCCCACTTGGTGAGTGTGCTGTAGAAGCAAGCTGTCAAGTAGGTCAAAAATAATTGTAAGTGAACCACCCTGATATGTTGGAGTCATGGTCCAACTTTGTATTACAGGTACGAGAACAAGAGCATCGAATAATTGTTAAAGATCTCTCTCAAAAAGGTAAGTGTTCCATAAATTGACAGTACTTGGAATTTGGTTTTGTTTTCTGTTGACTAGTCTACTTAAGGAATAGTGTAGGGAGGCTAATGAATACTGCTTAGAGCTATAAGGCTTTTAGTAATTTGTAAAATATGCTGAAACAGGATTATTGCTACACTTGAGAGAAGTTGTAATTCCTGTGGTGAATTGTTCTACTTTTAAAGCATGACTTTTCTGCACAGAGGTATAGTGGACCCATGATTTTAAGAATAAGAATGGTACACATTTTTTTTAACAAATATTTTAAAACAAGGCTGCACTGCAGCGGTGTACTCTGCTTTAGTGAGTGGGGGGTAGGTCAGAGCAGGAAATCTTTCTGTCAAATGTCCACTGACATGGAAGACTCCATCAAATCCCCATACATCTACCTGGACCCAGCAAATTGTGCTGGATGTCCAGGAGATGGGTTTTTCTCATGATGGTCTTGGTGTGGCAAACCTATGGTTAAAGCCTACTGTTGAGTAGCCCTGTTAAGCTAAAGTGCCAGGCAGTGAAGCATTCCTCAAAACCACCTTTGCTGAATGGTGTCTTAGGAGACTTCTTTTAAGATATACAGACCAACAGACCTTCAGCTGTCTTTACAATCTCTTAGTAAGGAAACCTGGTGCTCCTTAGGTGCCAAACCTGGCCTTGCTGCTGCTGTTCGGTCTGTGCAGGCGTTGGCTGAAAATTAAAGGGAAAGCATGTACATTAGCTATGAAAAAGAGAATCTGTGTCTTAAAACCCAAGCTGATGTGTGTTGTTTTTTCTTTCAGAACGGAGAGTTTGCTTTGAGGCCTTTATAAAGGAAGTACCACCAAAAAACTGGAGGCAGCTTATGAGAACTCATCTGCATGACAATGATATTGATAAAATTATTTATAACTTTCATAATGATATAGAAGAACAATCCTATCAGATGCTTCTCATCTGGAGAAACACACTGGGAGAAAAACAGTGCATTATTAAGTTACTGAGTGAGTTGAAGCATATAGATAGGAAGGCTTATGATAATGTAGTGAACACTTTAAAAAGTAATAACATTATAAGTAAAGCGGAAGCTACAGATAAATGTTTATGAGGAACTTGAGAAATGCTCTTGTGTACATATACATGTGTCTACAAACTTCTGTTAAATGAGGACATCAACAAGCTCCAGTAAAAGTGATGGCATGGACTTGATATCCTCCTCACCTCATGTGGAGAGCTGGGAGGGATTTCACACTGTCGGTGTTTACACGGACTCCGGTTGTGATATTCACTAAGGTCTTTTGAGTTGTGCAATATTGAACTCAGGCGCCGGATGCCTGCTTGGGAGCGAGGGGCTCGTGCTTCCCTTTGTGTGTGGCAGTGCCGTGCTGTCCTAGCCTGTCTGGTGGGAACAAAGAGGCTGCTGCTGCTTTTGAGAGTATGTGTGCTTTGGTTTCTTCGTACAGTTTTGTTTTGTATCGGTCTGCTTAGCACCGTTGTGTTCGAAGCACAGCAATAAAAGCCTGGTTGAGAGAGAAGCAGGGGTTGACTCTTGGACTTCTTTCGGGTGGTGGGGTCGCCGTCCCTGGAGGTATTTAAGGAAAGCCTCACTGCCATGCTCTAGTTGGCACGGTGGTGTTCGGTCGTGGGTTGGACTCGGTGACCTGAGAGGTCTTTTCCAAGCTGACGGATGCCGTGAGTGCCCGGGGCGGGCGATGCCGCGGGATGGCGGGCGGTGCTCCCGGTTGCCCCGGTGACGCGGGGCTCCCGTCGGAAGTAGCGTAGGGCGGGCGGGGCGAGGCTTCCGGACGCGCTGTTGCATCAGCTCGGGAGCGAGGGCAGGACGAGGCACCAGGATGGCAGCAGCGGCCGCCGCCGAGCACGGTAGGTCGGCGACCGGCGCCGCGGAGCCCCGGCGGGGCCAGGCGGGGGGTCCTCCGGGGTTGTCACGGCTCGGCGGCGGTCGGTGTCGAGGCCCCGCCGCTGTCACGGTGTCAGGTGGGAGATGGGGGCGGTGGGGCGTCGCTGTGGTCGCCTCCTTCACGCGTCCCTTGGGATCTGCATCCCTTGGTGCCTGCGGTAGCGGGGCCCCCCCCGAGCCCCTCCAGGACGCGTTCGTGGGGACCCCACCGCCGCAGCCCCCCGAGGTGCCTCCGCGCCCATCCCGTGGGTGCCCGTGGGATGCGGCTCGTATCGTGCCTCGCCACGAACGTAAAGGTTAATGCTGACACGCGGTGATTTGTGGAAAAAAAACCTCGGAGCTTCTCGGTACTGAGGTTTGGAAACAGCTGTTCTGCAGCTCGATGGGTTCCAGGAGGTATTTGGTGGCTGCCAGACCGCTCGGGCTGTGCGCCTTTCGCCGCGTCCTCCGTCCTCTTTCACCTGACCCTGTGTCTCCCTTGCTGTCTTTCCAAGTCATCACTGTTCTCCCTTGAACTCGTGTCTGAACTTCTTAACTTTTCCGGATATTTTCTTTGGTCATGGTTTAATGACGGGTTGTACTGCTCACTTCCATATGGAAGGAGGGCTAGGGTAGTCCTGTAATTTTTGGCACTACCGTAGCAAATAGAAACTTGGAATACCAGTCATGCAAGTATGAAATACCATTATGGTATGTAAAGGGTTGGAAAATTCTGTCATTCCAGTTAAGGAACTGTAAATTCAAAGGTTTTGCTCCTTTTTCTTTGCTACTGAAAGTTACTTTGCCCTCTGTTCATCAAAAGTAACATTCCCATTAAAGAGAAATATGTTTTCCAGGGATTGCCTTTTTTAGAAGTGTTTTCAGTATCAAACAAAACCACCAAAGGCTCAGTTCAGGTGCCCTTTAAGAAACTTTTTAATTGAGTTCATAATTAGGCAAATAGCTTTTTCTTCTTTCTTTTTTTTTTTTTACCTGCAATTGCAATTGTTACATTTAGTTTCAGTTCAGGAAAAGTGGAAGTGAAGCTGACTGGGACTGACAAGCTCTTCCTCGATGTGGGATACCCCAGTCTTAAAAATCTCTGCTCAACCAAAAGCCTCTTGAATCTCATGTGTGAGTCTTGATAAGTCCTTTGTCTCTCTATCTGCGCTGTGTCTGGCATAGATGAAGTCACTGCACTGGTTTGGTGGTTCTGAAATGTTTATGAAAAAGGATAATTCATCTTGGCTGAGCAAATAGTTGGAATTCCTTCTGAAGGTACCAGAGTGACCAGCTAGAATGATAAATGGCCAATTTGGAGACATCTTAATAATGAGACTTGTTTAATTTGTCTTTTCTGTGTTGTTTTAAATTTGTTGGAAGAGAAATTACCTAAACTAGCTAGTTTACTGCCTGCTTTATGGCTTTTTGGTATTTACTTTGCTGTCAACACCTTCAAGGAACAGAAATTTTCATTTTCTAGTTAATAAAAGTGAAAATTTTCCATGAAATTTGATATTGTATGGTCTACGTGTCTTGATTAAACTTCAGAAGGTATTTTATGTGCAAATAAAATGTAGAAGCAGTCCTATGCCTTTGAGTCTGTGTGTTGCTGTGGTCTTGCAGACAAATTCCCAGTGTCCTTTAGTAGTCCCCAAAGCACTCCATGCATGGAAAGAAGAATGTGTGACAATTACATCACCCAAAGAGATTGTACACCAGCAGCTACTTTATGAGAACTGTATTAGTTAATATCTACAGTGGAATTTTTTGGAAAGAAATTCATAATGTTTCATTGTTAACATTAATTCTTATGATTTTTCAAGGTTATTTTGATACCTCTCCAACACTTGTTCTCTGCGCTTATTTCCTGAATAGATGTTGATATGACTTGATATCTATGGATCATTCCATTCACATGAGTTAAAACTCAGTGTTATGCAATGGCTCTGTAATACTCCCATGTTTCTGCCATCAAGAAAACACTTCTTAATGCAATGGAGCAATAACAACTGTAGTTTTTCTTTATTGGGAGTGGAAAAAAATTACAGTCAGAGAGAAAGGTAATTTCTTAGCCTGTTTTCCTAAAGCAACAGGGAAAACAAATCAGATGTACATATATCCATTGGCCCTTCTCCCTCAATACTTTTTGAATCCATCGATTTTTACTAATTGCATTTAACAGTGGACTGCCTCTTGCACACAGCTGGCTAACAGACTGAGCAAAGATGGGTTGGAGCTGTACAGGAGGATGGGGATACTGAAGTATATGGGAAGAGGGGATGCAGCACTTAGGAGGTACCAGGAAATACATCAATGGGAGTGTGTGATGAATTAAAGGCAGTGCAAGACACTGAACGAGGAGCTGAGGATACAGAATGGTCACAGAAAAACAAGATTTTGTAGATTTACTCTTCTTGTTTTAGTAGTGATATCAATTAAATCAGAATAGGCTTTTATGTAGAAGTAGTTTTTACTAATTTCTTTTGCTTGAAAAGAAATGGTCCACTGCTATATTGCCATCCAAAAAACACTGTTACCACAGTCATTCTTTCTTTCCAGGAGAGTACACTGTTCTTCATGAGAAAAGCTTTTGTTTTGTGAGTTCAGTCCAGTGTGGAGCTACTCACAAGAATGCCAAAAGCGAGAATTATTTTGTCCTGCATGTGCTGAAATAGGATGCTCAGAGGTTTTCAGAATTGCACTGATGGTAGAATCATAGAATGGCCTGGGTTGGAAAGGACCTTAAAGATCATCTAGTTCTATTCCCCTCCTGTGGGCAAGGACACCTTTCACGAAACCAGGTTGTTCAGAGCTCCATCCAGTCTGACCTTGAACGCTTCCAGTGATGGGACATCACTCAGCACTCTCTCAAACACTGATACTTTGCCTGTATCTGCAACTGGCTGCAGCAGAGAGTAGAACACTTTTGTCATAGCTTCAAGTTGTCATGTTCTGAAAAGTAGCTGTGGGTCTAGAAAATAAAGTTTGGAACTCAGCACAGCCTGTGAAATCAATGTGGGACACTCAGATTGGTACAGTGAGCCTGCTGGGAGCTCGAGACTGCTGTGGCTCAGCTACTGCTGCACTCTGAGGAAACTCTGCCAACAGCTGCTTGGGTGTGTTCTTGCTGTACTGCCCGTGCTGTGGTGCCCAGTCATGGCTGTGAGTTTGGGCTGAATTTGAGTCAGGGATCAGTTTTGGCATAAAGACATCCTCCTGTTAGGTCCCCTGGGCTACATGAGTATTTGATGTATTAGGCTTTCAAGTCTGCTGTCGTTCTTGCAGCCAGACACAGGCCAAACTTCATGATTTTAAGTATTAATGTGTGTGCCAAGATTGCTTAAAATAATTTTGGTTTGTCAGAGCTGAGCTGGTACTGATACTCACAGGCAGTATTTACCATCTCTCCTTGCCAAAATTGGTTTGTATGAGTTCTGTCATATTTGTTGGATTTGTGTGTAAGTTTGTGCAACTTCCCTTTTAGATTGGTTTGCAGATGTGGTTGGAAAGTGCTTACATTGTTTCATATTCACTGACTTCCATTCCATTAGCAGCCTGGTGTGTGAATAATGGTCATAATAACCCTAATCATATTTTGCAAATTGACTGTTGATTTCCTTGCAGTAGATCTTCCAAGATCTTTTCTTTGAGATATAGTTTCATTTCTACACAGATAATTCTTGTAATGCTTTTTTTTTGGCATTCTCCCTCATATGATTCATGTATACAAAATTCACATTCAAGGAAGACTTATGTCTTAGGTTTCCAGAGTTAATGAACACAACTATTTCAAACTATTTCATGTGTATAAACATGTGAAGTTCTGTGATGATAAACATCAGTAAATACTTAGGAGCGTGAAAAGTTTATAGTAAAATGAACTATGTGAGCTGAAACTGAATCCCATTCAGCTGGGTAAAACAAGCCCATAAGGTCTAGTTATGAACCATTACTTCCTTTTTATTCCTTATTTATACTGAACAGTTATATGAGTAGTTCTTCAGAGAGATTTTACATGAGTTTGTCTTTGCTTTTGTATATGAATCTTTTGTGAACTTCTATTTTTTAAATTGTTTTTTTTAAATCATTGATCTTTTTTATTAGTTCTTATGTGCTATCTTATATCATTTATACCCAAGAGAGTCAAACAAAAACATGCTTGGTATCTAGCTGCCATTTCCATGTCATTCTGACTTGCTATTGGATATTTTAATAATTGATTTCCATATAGAAAACATACTGCTCATAAAGCCTTAACTGATGATATTTGGAAAAACTTTTCAGTTGTACAGTTCCTCACATCCTTTCATATCCATCACTTCCCTGTCTCCTTCCATTCTTGCCTTTCCAAGAGCATTGGTCTGTGAGTACCTCCAGTGCTTTAGGAACTGCTTGTGCAGGTGTTCATTTCAGTGTGAGAAGCAACACTTCTGGCCATGATCTCTGTCGTGGTTTGGGAGCAGGGACAGGTGCTCTCACACTGCCTCTCTCACTTTACTGCCCTATGACCTTGACTTAAATTACCTTCTTGGCTCACTACCTAAGCAGGATATTCACTTAGTGTTTATACAGTACTTTGAACATGAACAGAACATTGAATCATTGTAGGAAAATAGGAATGCTGCCTTTACCTAA